ATGTTTAATTATTTAATGATGCATTTATTTAATTCATTTTGGCACTTTTGTCCCCTTCAGCTATCACCGTGAATTTATTTTATCTGTCAGCGTCACCCATCAAACTAAGGGGGCGGGGTTAACACTGCCACTGCAGCTTCTCTAACATCTAATTGGTTGCCGTGCAAAGTAAGTCAAGACAAGTCGATCCTAGATAATCGATTGGATGTGTGGACTTGGGGCAGCCAGGTATCCCAGAATGCATTTCAAATCACAGGCAGCAATGGTGTAGTTTTAAAATACCCCGTTTTTCTGTCACCAGCTGTCTCTGTCAGACAACAATTTTACATATGTGATGTTAAAACAGGACACAGCCTCATATCAAATGTGAACGCAGACTGAGTCATTACGCAGGTCCTGGCATCCCACTGCTGTGTGATCAATTATTGTAAATGTTATCAGGAAACGATCAGACAGCAGAGGGTTTTCAGGAAACACTTAAATGTTCAGTTTCTCTGCCAGATGTTAAAACAAGATCTAGTGTGATTAAAGTGGTGGGCGTCTGTCTTGGTCTTTGCTTTTCAAGGTTTTGCATTAGGTCATAGACGTGGTACCTTCATAGTACCAGATACTTCTGTAGTACCTGATACTTCTGTAGTACCTGTACGAACGGGGCTCCAAGTGAGAGCAGGTACTAAAATGTGACGTCATCCGACTGCATGTCACCGATTCGCTGGTCAGTCTGGAGAAACGCCGTCGACCTTTGTTGTAGCGTTTGTGACGCACACTAATTTCGCTCGGACGCATTGTCATGACAACAACCAGCAAATTAGGATGTACTGAACTGTAATGGAAAACCAGTCACAGTAGGTACTGATGAACACACGCAGCCTCCTGTTGGATGCAATGTGGTTCTGCAGCCCGAAGGTGGCACCATTAAACCAAACCAGAGGTCAAAGGTCAAAAACTGAGCCAGAAACAGCTTTACGCTCCGTTTGGAGCTGTGACATCATCGGCACTCAGCATTCAGAGGTGGAGCTCTCCAGCACAGGACCGCCTCCACCAGCGCTCGCTCTCTGTGATGAGCTGCAGCAGAACTGAAAGTCAAACATTCACACTTCCTGCTATAAAGCCTCGTGTGTCACATGTCAGCAGCTCAGAGTTTCCATGAGTCAGAGGATGTCAGCTGACAGAAAGTATCAACTACCACTGTGACGTCACTTCCTGTTAGTGGTGGTCAGGAATCATGTGATTAGTTGTGAATTCCCTCACATGATCAGAACTGCGAGCACGTCCCTGCGACTGACGTCCTGTCATCCTCGCCTGCTTCAGCTTCAGGAAAACAGACCTGGCGCCGGTTTAAGCAGTGGGTGTGGCACAAAGAGGCGCTTCAGTCTTGGGTGGGCCAGCGGTGTGCGGGTGAAGCAGAGCCTTGTTTCACCCGTTGGGGGGCGCCGGGGCTTGGGCAACCCGGCAACCACCCTTCCTTCCCTTTTTTTTTCAAACGGCGTTCCGGGGGTTGTGGGCGTTCCCGGTTGGGGCAACTTGGGGTTTTCCCCCGGAAACACTCCAGCTTTTCCCTTACCGTGTGCACTATCACAGCTCAGTAACTCTCACCTGTACGTCCCCCTAACCCCGCCTCAGGCTTGGCGGCACGCCGGCAAGCACTCACCTCGCCTCGTTTCTTGTGCAGCTCCGTCAGCTCCTCCTGGTGCCGGATCCTCATCTGAGCCATCTCCTGCTGCAGAGCGTCGCTGCGGCTCGAGTCCGCCGCACTGCCACGGGACACAGAGACACGTTAGACAACACGTCGACGAGTGACAGCACACACCAGCACGCCGTACACTCACCTGGACTCGTGGCCTCTCTGAACGTCATATTTGTCGGCCTGGTAACGCTCCGATAGGACAGCCTGCAGGTCCGCCTTCTCCAGGAGACGGTTATCTGAAAACCCATCGATACATCAACAACTACGACAACTCAAACAACATGGACGCTACGCTGTAGGTGGCTGACAAGTGTGTGGGTGGAGCTTCCTTCTGTCAGCTGCACTCAGGGTTAGTCCTTCTGAGCGCCGCCACGACAGCGCCAGTCAGCTGTACAGGTGTGTGAGCTGCAGCCATGTTTAAATCCAACATGGGCGTCAGCACCGTGTTAATGTTAAGGTGGCGTCACCACGGCGACCTACGAAGCAGAGCTCTGAAAGCTTCACTGCGATGAGTCGATGTGTCGCCGAGCGCTTCTGTGGGCACGCTGCTCTGTGCTGCCGACGGCCTCTAACTGCTGTCAGCTGCTGTCAGTGGCGCTTACGCTGCTCGACTCGGACCAAACTGAGTGGAACTGAGAACGTGGTCATTCTTCATCAGAGTGGACGTGTGAGTTTTAGGACACTCAAGCTTCTGATCAGCTCCTGCTGTTGTTTGGCGCAGTCATGTGGGTCTAACCTATCGGGAATAACTGAGTGTGTTCATGCAGGTCTGTGTGTCTCAGAGCTCTGACTTCAGTTCAGACTTAAGGAGGAAGATGAAGAAATGTTCATATATAGCTCAGCTACTTGTGATCTTTAACTTCAACCCAACTTACAGCTGCTGCCTTACAGCAGCTTTTAAAATAACTTTTTTCTATCTGAACCTCTGGAAACAGGAACATTCCAGGGAATTCTACGGAGTACAGAGAGTTAAAGGAAGAGTGTCTCACACTGCAGGATGATCTCCTCGAAGGCCTGTCTCTGCTCTCGGTCTCTAAGCTTGAGTTGCTCCGCCACGTGTTTCTTCCACAAACACTCGCCTCGCCGCTCCGCCATCACCTGCTGACACACACAAACACACACAGCTGGGTCCAGACAGCGCTTCGACCTTTAATGCAGTCTCCACCTGTCTAACAGAGGGCCGAACACCTGTTCAGGTGACTTGTTGTAAGAGGGCCATGACTACGGAGGAGGTGCAACATCTCCAGGCTTTCTTTGAGTTAACTAGATCAACAAAACCTAACCTCAGTCAGAGGTAACTCTCTGATAACCTGGGCTCTCTGCTTCAGGCTCAGTGTGCACCCACATGAAACGGGTATTCTGCACGTCATGTGACTCTTCCTCTTCAAAGAATGACCCTGTGAGTGCTGCTTGCACCAATCAAAGCCATGATCAATGATGATGATGATGATCTGAGAGCTGTAGCAGCAGAATCTTCGGCACAGAGCGGGAGAATAAAATTTGATTTACAGTGAAGGATTTGGTGTCTGAGCGCGCTCAGTGCTGCTCTTTGTCTCTAAGGTGACAGCTAAACATTACAGCTGTTTCCATGGAAACATGAACACTTCCTGTCCCACAGCCTGATAAAGGAGACGTGAAATCAGATCAGAGGGAATTAATGTGATTGGTTGAACAGATGTGTTCACTGTTTGTGACTCAGCAGGAGTTCTGCATCACATGCAGTCTTAGCTGCTGGGCTGCACACTGACAACATGCACGTAAAAAACCATCACCTGTTCTGCATCTGTTTCCATGGTGATTCAGCTTGTGGAAGAGCCGATTGGGCCACAGAGTCTATGTCAGCTGATAGGTAATAATAAAACCTGTAATCTGTGTTAAAATTGCCTAAATAGGATCTTAAGCCCCGCCTCCTAGATCTTTGTCTGAAAACAGAGGCTCAGGCTGCTCAAGTCTCACCTGGCCTGCAGGTGTGCAACCTCTGCTGCGATCCCTCTGACACCCACAGAGGCCCACTGTATTTGGGCCTCTGTCTGTATCTTAATCGTCCCTTGGGGATAAATAAAGTCTCTCTGACTCTGTCCCACAGACTGCCATGTTTAACACCTGACAGGGTGTGGAAAACATGCCTGGGTAATAACCTGCATTATTGGGGGCGTAGCCTCTTTGACTAACAGCTGTCTGTAAATGGACAGGTCTGATACAACTACTGGAGTGCTCAAAGCACTTTAAAGCACACACACACACACACACACACGCACGCACACACCTAAAGAGTAACTCAGGGTTCAGTGTCTTGCTCAAAGGCACTTTGGCACCCAGGGCTCAAACCACCAAACTTCTGATTGCTATATAACCTGCATGCTCACATGAGCTACCTGGACCTCTGTCCCACCCCTTGTGGAGATGAGTCCAGCTACGTCGGATGACGTCACTCTGATCAGCCCCTCCTGGTGGCGGAATAACTAATCAACCTGTGAACTCAGGTGAGGAGCACAGGCGACAGCGACGCGGTGAACCACGTGATTAAACTCCCACAACAAAGACAAACACACTGATGACGTCAGGTGGACCCCGGCTCCCCTGAGCGGACGGCTAGCTTCTCTGTTAGCATGCTAACATAGGAAGAGCAGTGCTAACAGGCTAACAGGCTAGCGGTCCTCTGAATTTCTCCGCCCGCGGTGGGCGGCAGCGTGGCCGCCGGGAGGGCTCCTGCGGGCGGGCCTGGGGTGCTCCGAAGCTCGCGGCGAGGCTGCTCGCGGACTTGGACCCCCGTGACTCAACACGTTAGCATGCTAGCCGCGGGGCTCGCAAAGCGTAGCGGACACTCACTGCGCGTGTGTGCGTCCCCGACGGCGGCGCGTGTCCTCCGCGGGTTCCCCGTCCACCTCGCGCTCCGGTCTCCGGTTTCCGGTGATTTTCGGTGAATTTGTCATCAAACGACACCTGAGCTGCAGCCGCCGCTCCACTTCTGCGCCATTCTGGCTCCAGCGCGCACTTCCGGGAGGCCGCACGAAGATGACGTCATAACTGGATGTTGTGGTTTATTGACACTGCGCGAATGAATGGCCCAGAATGAGTGTGTATGCGTGGTGTTCCGGTGTTAGGCCCAAAACTGATTGCTCGTATTTAAACTGCTATAAATCACTTGTTGGTCTATAATATGTGAAATATATGTCAAATGTTTCCCTCATGAATGACATCAAGCCATCTTGACAGCCAACATTCCTGTCACAAGGTAGACGTGGCAATCAGTTTTTGGCAGTGACTTTTATATATCCTTTATTTTTCCAGTTAAATAAATCTCCTTGACATTACTGTTAAAAACACATTTTTATGGAGTTATAAAGATACTTGAAAAACATGTAATTTTTAAATTTTATATATAACCCCTCTGTTCACCAAAGTCTATTTACCAACATACGTAAAAATATTACTCACAAAAAAACACACAGAAACATTGGAAATCACTTTTTGGCACAACACGGCAGGTGTTCAGCTCTGAAAAGCTTGTACTTCCCAGTTAAAAAACACAAAACTTTATTCCACAAAAGAACAAAGCGCAGCAGCTGCCTCAGTCGCACACAGATTACATGAAATACAGACACACAATGTTTCACAACTTGTTGTCTTGATGTGGTCCTGATTAAAGGCGATTCCCACAGAAGACTGCGTGTGCTTAGAAACAGGGTCCTCCTGGAACAGAGCTCGGACTCTTCATCACAGTTTCAACAACATCAGAATTACAGACAAAGAAATAAAAGCTCCAGTTTTAGAGGAAGATGACATCACACATGCTTGTAGGACGCTGAGTAATAATAAATGTGTTGTTTAGAGAGGAAGACAGAGCAGCGTTCTCATAAGAGTTCATCATTGAAGATTTCTTTCAGCCTCATCTTTGCTTTTTCACTGCAGATTTCTTTGATTCTCATGAGCTGAAGAGGATCCGTTCCCAGCTCCACAGCTCAGCTGGAGACGCCGCTGCATGAGGACTGAAGCCTCTCAGAGACCGAGCTCAATGAAACTGAAGTTTAATGAGCCTCTGTTGGTTTTAGTGAGAACGATACCGAACAATCAAATCTCACATTGATTGATGTGAAGACAGAGACCTGCTGCTCTGTAGGAGACGTGAAGTGTTTTAATAGCTAAATGAAATCTGGCTCCAAACTTGTATCGTCTGCTGATTGTATCAACATCAGTTAAGTCACAAACTCCTCGAGGAAACCTGCTGCTGCAGCACACCTGAGTAACATGATGATCATCGGGGTTCGGGTTCAGGGTTCGGGGCTGAGCGTGCAGTCAGGTGTTGCTAACGACCTGCTGATGTTACTCAGGTGTGCTGCAGCAACACCTGTAAAGGTTTCAGGCCCTCGAGGAGTGGACTCAAACCCCCGATGAGCCCAGATTGTAGTGACAGTCTCCGAGCCGACAAACAGGAAGAAGCAGACATGTGGCGACGGGACGTCCTTGATGATGTCTTCTGCAGATATTGAAGCTGAGAGTCGAGCCACAGTTTAATGCAGTGCTTACAGAGTTCAAACATCAGCAATGAAGTTTCTACCAAACCCAAATTTATCAGGATGTCGAAAATGAGCCTTATGTTATTTTTTATATGTTTCTCATGAAACCTGATTGTGTCTCATCAATAACGGATTTTAATTAATGCTAGAATTTTGAGATCATTGTTCAGTAAACAATTAGGACGCCAGTCGTCAGTGACCAAGACGGGTTATACCCCGAGGTAGAGTCGCAGGGGTGGTTTTGTAAACTTTCTATATAAAGCTGCAATAAGAAGGGAGCTGGCTCATCAGAGAATGACTTCAGCCACGAGTCCATCTGCTCCAGGAGATTTATTGAGCTGACAGATTGCAGTCTGGTAAGTGGCCTGTCACATAATTCCTGATCCGATCTGGAGATGGGATCTACCTTGAGAGAGTTTAAAAGGAAGTCTGACAAAAACTGGAGCTCCACAAACTTCCATAGAAGGTGTCACAGTATTAGGAAATAAATAAGAGGCCTGTGTCCCCCCACCACTCCCCCTGCCGGTGGCAGACCCCCTCAGACATCGGTGCGTTGGTGGTTCTTTGTGTCCGGGGATGGGCGTCCAGGTACACACCGGCTCACTCCTTGGTGGCTGCTTATCGGAGCCTGGGGCTCGCTCGGGCCACTTCGGGGGTGGGGTGCCCTCGGCCTCTCGGCCTGGGGCTCGGTCACTCTGGC